AATGTCACATCATGTCTAAGACTTATCAACTTAGACCATGCCTCCATCTCGGCATGCACTGAGCTCAACTGTTCTTGAAACGTCTCAGGCTCTTTTGGCCCTTTGCCAACTCAAGCTTCCACAGCAACGACTACCTCCTCGACATCCTTGGCAAGCTCCTTTGCAACATTGGGTTTGGGCAACCCATTCTGCTCTTGGTTCTGACTAACCTTGGTAGAAGTAAACAACAATGAACCAAGTCTGACAGGCTCGCTACTCTCGGCCTTGTCCTTTCCCTTGGACTGCTTGATTCGGCTTGGGCATTCCCACACCATGTATGGAACTTTGCACCGAAAACACTCCCGATGCTTAAGTTTCTTTACCCTCGACTTTCTTGATTAGCCCTTGACTTTCCCACCGAGCTTTACATCGTTGGTGCAATCTCGCACCTTGTGTTTTCCTCCACACTGGAAACACTTCAATTGTTCTCGCTTCTTTACCCTTGGCTTCTTAGCTTCGTCACTTGCATTGGCACATAGATTTTTTGTATTTGGGCAACTCTTAGCCCTATGTGCTCCTTGACATAGGAAAAACTTTAGTGGATCTCGCTTATTTACCCTCGGCTTTCCTACCCCACTCGTATTCACGCTGAGCCTTACTCCTGGCTTGACTGCTTTGACTCCCGCAGTCGTACCATCTTTGGCTACTTCCCCTTCTGATTTGTCTTCTCCTCTAACAATGGCAACAAGGCGATTCTTCTCGGGACATCCTCTTATCATATGAGGACCATCACAGAAGTAACATTTAAGAGGCCTACTACTGACCTTCTTCTTTGACACGTACTTGGCCTTGCCATGATTCCCCGATGGCTTTATCCAACCACGATCAGTCAATGCCACTTCTTGGCTACTCAAAGAGCTTTTTCTGCCATCTATCCACTGTCTTTTGTCATAGTCTCCCCCATTTTCACCACTATCTTCGGTTATGGGTTCGGACGACTCATCTTTGGTTGGCTTGACTCCTTCAAGCTCACACCTTGACTTGGCTACAGCTCCGGCTTCCGAACAACTCTAGGCATCACCTTGCTCTCTGGCAAGCATCACCCGTGGTCTAAGTCCTTCGACGAAGGTCTTGAGCACACCGCCATTACTCATTGCTCCCTTGCACATTAGTAGCTCATTCTTGAGCCCATTTATCTCTTCCCTCAAGGCCATCACCTTGACCTTGAGCACATTATTCATATCTATCAAAGTCCAGTCGTGGAGAATTCATTGTGCCACATCCTTAAACCCATCCTTCATGGACTCTAGCTGTTCAAGATGGGACTACATAACTCCCTGGACTTCCTTGGTTTCCTCAGCAAAGCTCTCAAGGTTCTCGATCCTCATCTCCAACAATCCTGGGATAACTCCCACGCTCTATTTCTCTAGCTCAATCCTAACACCATGGCTATACGCGTCATTCTCTGTGGGAACAACTCCTTTTTGTTGTGCCATCACGCTTTCTTTCCACAACTTGTTTGGAACACTCGTTGTATCCACAACGGCTTCCTTCAACTCACTAATATTCTTCTTGTCAAGAGACAAGCTCGGATCACTATTGAATCCATAACACCAACACTCTGACTTGCTCTGACTCACTTTCACCAAACACGTTCAAAACTATCGTTGTTTGCCTGCAACGACTCGCTTTGTCACTACTTGCCACAAAATCTGACTGGTAAACGCGTCGTTTCACCAACAACTCGTTCTGACACCACTTGTGGTGGGGCTACGACAATAGCTACGCTCTGATACCACTTATCACGGGGCTAGACTTCTGCTAGTCGATTCGTGTGACACTTAAACGATTTCAAGGTCGAAATAGCACCTAAGTCAGCCTTAACCACATCTTTGTGAGTCTCTGGATCACTAAGCGACGAACAAACCCTCAAGGGTTAAACAACAACGCGGAAGCAACATATAATCGGGGCTAATCCAAGCCACATGGGTTGAAGCGGGTTTCCAAAGCACGAGCACTGTGAGAACTTTCTAAGTCACCAAGACTTGAATCACTTTGGCACTTTGAAAGAACTCATAAAGGAACACTCTAGAGGCTATCTCAGCCCACACGATCGGCAACACAAGCCACAAAGGCTTCAGCACAAAGGAGAACAAACCGACAATGCTAGAAAGCTAGAAACACAAGAGCTCAAAGAGAGTAAGTGTAAATGCCTGAGCTTTATTACTCTGAAAGATTACAAATGATGGAATTGGATGGAATGAATACAAATGAGGGGGAACTCTCTATTTATAGTTGAGGCCCTCAAGATCCAACGGTGTAGATCAATGTACATCGACGGCTTAGAATGAATCCTACCTTAACAAGAACTCTATCTCTAAGGTATTTGAATTCAAACAAAACATTATCCATAATTAAATCCTTAATTATTGGATAATAATATACTTTCTAGAATCTTCCAAGGAACAGGCTAGGTCTGATGGTTCTGGGCAAGCCCAACACTCTGTATTATTCTTCTACAGAAATCTGCGCACACATGTCTCGGTCTGAATCCACGAGCCTTGACAAAATTACCCCCATCGAACATGTAACACCCTCGTTGCTTCTCTCAGACGCCTCAGACTCGATCCTTTATGGACTCGTAAGCATTCTCCAAGAACCAGGCCAACTCATCATGCCCAACAAGCCTAAAGTCTGCGCAATAGAACCCCTCTTGTGTGAACCTTTGCGCCAATGTCCATAGACCCAAAAGTTTAGTCCGTGACACTATTTATAATTTGAACGTCCTTTAATTAAAGATGGGTCCTGTGAGAATTTCGACATGGTGCCGGAATAGATGAACGGGAATGAATACAAAGGCTAAGAATAGAACTTCTATTATTATGAAATGAAATTGAGTGATTCAATAGGAATGAAAACCTATTACATTGATGGGTATATATAACCCATATTCCACCTAATCAGAAACGACCTACAGATTATGGCCTAACCAAAGAACAACCTAATAAAAAACAAACAATAAATTACAACTTATTGTCACGTAAATATAAAAAATTATGATCAAACTTTTTTGTCACGTAAACAAAGACACTTTCGCTAAACGTGCTATTTAAAAAGCATGGTTAACATAATATATTTCTAAAAATAATTGATATTTCTCTAAATAATCCTTTCTATATTTTATTTCCTTAAAGAATTAGAAAACTTATTATTAACATAAATTTGTCAGAAAATTGATTATGGACTTTTTAGGTAATATATTTTTGATTAAGTTATGATATTGTTTTGAGTGTATTCACATGTATATGATTTATTGATCGATTAATTTAAATCATTTAGTGCATAAATTTATTATAAGGTGATCTTATCCATCTAACATTTTTCATTAATAACATCAAAAATTAAATCTTAAATCTTTTTTGAATAAGCTTAACATCCCATTCAACTAAATAAACTTATATTTACTGACATTCCCTTGTTACTTTATAATTTTTTATATTAATTAGGGTAAGTACAAGATATTATTTATTCAAATACAACTCTTGATCATTTGACATTAAACGCTCATACTCTTGACTTTCATGGTGCTCGAAGGGACTCAATGAATAACAACAATTCTTTAATCACCGAGATTGCTTGGTTCGTGCTTAGAAAAAAACTTTGAATAAATAATAGAGTTAATGGCATCATATGTCCTCAAACTATAACTCTCATTTTAAATTAATCCTTACACTTTTGAATGTTTAAATTATATCCCCAAACTATGTCTTATTTTAAATTAGTACTTAAACTTTTGAACATTCTAATTTCATCCCTAAACTATGTCCCTCTTTCTAAATTGATCCCCAAACTTTGAATATTCCAAATTCATCCCCAAATTCATCAAAAATATGTAATTAGTTTCAACCAAAATTTAACCTATTTTTTCAAACACATTATAATACAACTTAGCCTAACGATTTTATTAACAATTGATGTGATTAGTATATACATATAGTTTGAGATGAAATTAGAATGTTCAAAAAGTTTGGGGACCAATTTAGAATGAATGTCATAGTTTGGGATGAAATTGAAATGTTCAAAAGTTTAAGGGCTAATTTAGACTGATAGTCATAGTTTAGGGATGAAATTGGAACATTTAAAAGTTTAAGGACTAATTTAAAATGAGGGTCATACTTTGAGGATATATGTTGTAATTTCCTCTAAATAATATCATTTTCCGAATCTTTTTCATAATTAAAGGTCAAATAATCAAATATAATAATTATTTAATTTTCAAGGCAATTTCGATAAAACTAAATTTTGTATATTTGATTTTTCTTCTCTTTTTAATTTTAGCTTAATTAGAAACAAATCAACAATGTAATTATTAGAGAAGAATAAAATTAATATAGACGACACTTTATTTATATAAAAAATATATAATTTTGACACATTTGTATAATTCTATTACATTTGTATTATTTTTCTAGTCAACTATATTTTCAGTATTATTTTTATATATTTGATGTTATTTTTCTAATAATTTAACAAAAAATAGTTTTAAAATTTAAAAACGAAATAATTTCATAATTTTGTTATAGTTGCTTCTATTCTTAATTATAATTTATATTTAACTGATTGAATCACTTATTTTCAATTCAATTAATCATCTTTACATCATTATTTGAAATCAAAATAATTTAATACAAAATAAGTCAGAAATTTTGGAACAGACATTGATACCCCTCACATCAAGTTGTTCTAAAACCTACCCTACTCACGTAATGGGAAGGAATAATTCCAATGACTTTGAAAATTCATCTTCTCCCCTTCAATACGAGAGTAGATGATTGGTTTCAATGAAAATTTCACAGGTCCATGTATCTTTTGCCGTTGAACACGTTATTTAATTCAAAATTCCACCAAGCTACACGCAAATTCAAAACTTTTCTTATTCATCTTCCCCCAACCAATAATTTTCCAGCTCCATAGAGCTCCAATTTGCGCGCTAATGGCTAAAAGTTCCAAAAACAAACCGACGAAAACCCTACAGGAGAGAGTATAAAACCCTCAGCTGCTCTGCTCCTAAGGACACACAAAACAAAACCAAAGGCAAAAAAAATGTTAAATTCACTTTGCTTCATCTTTGTAATCCTCTTTGTCTTCTCCCCTTTTGCATCCTCTACCTTATTGTTCCAGGTGCTGTATCTTTCTCTTCGGAAGCTATGGTTGAATGTTAAAAAACATGATTTTGATGATTAGTTCTCTGAATTTGTATGGTTTTGTTCTCAGGGTTTCAACTGGGAATCATCCAAAAAGGCTGGTGGATGGTACAATTTTCTCCGGAACTCTGTTTCCGATATCGCTGCCGCCGGTGTTACTCATGTTTGGCTCCCACCGCCCTCCCAGTCAGTCAGTCGCGAGGGTAACCCTTCGCTTGAATTTCTTCATTGATCATATATGCATATGTTAACTGGTGTGAATGAGTCCATGAATGTTGCAGGATTTGTGTTTGTTGAATTGTGTGTATTAGCAATCTTTTGACTTTATATGAATTTGTTCAGGATACTTGCCGGGAAGGCTATATGATCTCGATGCATCGACGTATGGATCTCAGGCCGAATTGAAGTCATTGATTGATGCTTTCCATCAAAAGGGAGTCAAATGCGTTGCTGACATTGTGATAAACCATAGAACAGCCGAGAGGCAAGATAGCAGGGGTATATACTGCATTTTCGAAGGTGGAACTTCCGATGATCGACTAGATTGGGGACCATCCTATATTTGCAGAGATGATCTCATCTATGGTGATGGCACCGGGAATCTCGACAGCGGATTGCTCTATGAACCTGCCCCGGATATTGATCATCTCAATCCGGTGGTACAAAATGAGTTATCAGATTGGTTGAATTGGTTAAAGACTGAAATTGGATTCGATGGATGGCGATTCGATTTTGTAAGAGGGTATGCCCCGAGCATATCCAAACTCTATATGGATCGAACTGCTCCGGACTTTGCTGTCGGGGAGAAATGGGAACAGTTAAACGAAGGACAAGAAGATTCACACCGTGCTGACATAAAAGATTGGGTTGAAGCTGCCGGAGGTGTTGTGACTGCATTCGATTTCACTACGAAAGGGATTCTGAACGACGCGGTGCAAGGGAAGTTATGGAGATTGAAGGATTCGAATGGAAAACCTCCTGGACTGATTGGAATTCTACCTCAAAATGCTGTAACTTTCATTGACAACCATGACACTGGATCCACACAAAATCAATGGCCATTCCCATCTGATAAAATAATGCAGGGATATACTTACATCCTAACCCATCCTGGCATCCCATCCATAGTAAGTTTACACTTCCACTCTTCATTTTCTTTTAATCTTCCATAACTTTCTTAATGAAAACCTCCGTATCTTGGCTCTGCAGTTTTATGATCACTTATTCGATTTCGGGTTGAAGGACGAGATTAATAGACTGGTGGCAATCAGGAATAAGAATGGGATTCAAAGCACAAGCACGGTTAATATTCTGGCAGCGGAATCTGAACTTTATATTGCTGCCATTGATGATAAAATCATAATGAAGATTGGACCAAAGATGGATCTTGGAAACCTTGTTCCTTCCAGTTACCAGCTTGCTACCTCTGGTAATAACTATGCAGTATGGGAGAAGAAGTGACCAAATTGAATAAATGATTTAAAAACAGACACAAATTGTCATTTCAGATTATGTTCTAAAGACTGGCCATTTGTTGTATCTTTAACAACTAGGAAAAATTCTGCTTTTCCATGTAAAGAATAAATCTAATAATTTATGAATTATTACTGCTTTTTTCTCTATCCTTTACAAGAACAAAAATAATATTATAAGGTTAATTCAGAGGGCTAGAGAGAATCCAGAGTATGAGCTTGGGTAATTCATTTGGTCTCAATTTCTTTCACTCATTACTAAATTCACAGCTTCAAACTAAAACAGTGAAATCTTCTTTGCTTGTTTTCCGCCAATTACTACAATCGAATCTAAAGCCATATGATTTCACTTTCTCTCTTCTCATCAAAGCCTTAGCTTCATCTTTCTCTGCTTCAAATTCATTAAAATCCAAGCTAGAAGCCAATCAAATTCATACCCATCTATTTAAATCCGGTATTGTTCAACTTACATACGTTAGAACGGGTCTTCTGATCTTTTGTATTAACTTGGGTTGCATTCAAAGTGCTCGCTTTCTGTTTGAAGAAATGCCTGACAGGGATGTTGTTGCTTGGAACGCTTTGATTTCAGGGTACTCAAAAAATGGTTATGATTTGTTGGCTTTTAGTCTTTTCATTGAAATAGTTAGAGAAGGGTTTAGGCCTGAAGCTAAGACGTTGGTTGGTTTGGTTCCGTTTAGTGGGAGGCTTGAGTTAGTGTTTAAAGGGAAATCTATTCATGGACTTGGAGTTAAAGCCGGGTAAGATAGGGATTCCAAGGTGAAAAATGCGCTTACTTCGATGTATGCAAAATGTGGGGACTTGGAAGGGGCAGAAATTTTGTTTGGAGAAATGGTAGAAAGAAATGTAGTTTCTTGGAATACTATGATTGGTGCTTATGGACAAAATGGTTCCTCTGATGAAGCCATGGTTTTTTTCAAGAAAATGAGAGCGCAAGCTGTGGAAGCAAATTCTGTAACAGTTATGAGCCTTCTATCTGCTAATGCAGAACCTGAAACTATCCATTGTTTTGCTATTAAAACTGGTATTGTCAACAATGCTTCTGTAATTACTTCTTTAGTTTGCGTATATTTGAAATGTGGAGATAGTGAGTCAGCTGAGTTGCTTCATAAGTCGTTATCGCAAGAAAATTTGGTATCCTTGACTGCTCTTATTTCTAGCTATGCTGAGAAAGGGAACATGGATAAGGTGGTAGCATGCTTTGCTCGGAGTCGGAAACTCAATATGGAACTTGATGCAGTTGCAATGGTTAGCATTCTCCATGGGGTAAAAAATCCTGCTTACATTGCTATCGGGCTTGCTTTTCATGGTTACGGAATAAAGACTGGTCTAACCATACATTTTTTGGTTGCAAATGGGCTAATAAGTATGTGTTCCAGGTTTAATGACGTTGAAGCTATATTCTCTCTGTTTTTTGAGATGCAAGAAAAAACATTAATCAGTTGGAATTCAATAATATCCGGCTGTGTGCAGGCTGGAAGAGCTGGTGATGCCATGGAGTTATTTTTTCAAATGAAGTTGCACGGACATGTACCAGATGCCATAACCATTGCTAGTATGCTATCTGGGTGTTCACGATTGGGTTATTTACGTTATGGTAAAAAGCTTCACAGTTTTATCCTCAGGAATAACATAAAAATGGATGATTTTATTAGTACTGCTCTTATAGACATGTATGTAAAGTGTGGAAGCATTGAGCTAGCTGAAAGAGTCTTCTGGGGCATCAAAGAGCCATGTTTGGCAACATGGAATACAATGATTACAGGGTACAGCATATCCGGATTTGAAAACAAAGCACATAATCATTACGCTGAGTTGCAAAAAGGAGGGCGAAAACCTGATAAAATCACATTCTTGGGTGTTTTAGCAGCTTGTATCCATGGTGGCAATGTTGATAAAGGAAGAAGATACTTACAGATAATGACCGAAGAATTTGGTATATCACCAAGTCTTCAACACTGTGCAAGCATGGTTACACTCCTTAGCGGTGGTGGCCACTTTGAGGAATCATTATTATTCATCGGGAATATGGAATTCGATCCTGATTCTGCAGTGTGGGGAGCTTTGCTCGATGGCTGTTGCATCCACCAAGAGGTCAAACTTGGGGAATATTTAGCCAAGAAATTGTATCTCTTGGTTCACACAAATGGTGGCTTTTATGTGTTGATGTCAAATATTTATGCTTCTAAAGGGATGTGGATGATGTAGTTAGAGTGAGGCAGATTATGAAGGACACTGGAGGGGATGGCTCTTCAGGAGCTAGCCTGATTGAGTTGACTTCATAATCTTGCCATGCCAGAAGACCCAGGAATGATACTAATAGCCTGTAACCCTAAACCCATCTCTCAAAACTCCATCTTGCTCTTTTATCAAGATGTTGAACATTAATTTAACGGTCAGCAAGAAGAAGAAGATGGTGAAGAGAGTAACAAGGAGGAAAATGAGGAAACTTGGTGGGTTTTAAAGGTTGGTAACAGAATTAAAGTGAAACTTGGGGTGGAAATGCAGTTCAAAGATTTTGGAGATCCGGTTGATTTCACTGCCAAGGGAGTTTTAGGGAATGAAGTTTTTTAGTGAACAGTATATAGGCTTCATAGTATTAAATTGTGGTTGCAACGTTGTGTAGTGGCCATGACGTAATGTTTTTCGAGGTCATCACTACTCCGCAAACCGCATCCGCAACATAAATACATAGTTATTTTTAGAAAATAAATCACGTTGTAACGTCTGTAACACCTGCAATCGCAATGCCGTAGCTGCAACCGTAATTTAGTATTATGATGGGCTTTCCTAGCAAGTTTAATGATTGTTTGTTTGATTATGGGTTAGAGTCTAATGATGCTAATAAGGTTAAGGTTTATGGGAAAAGCATGAAGTATGAAGCTTGAACAGGCGGTGACTTGCTACTGACCCACTCTTTATTCGATATTCCAATGCTATGGCTTCATAGGTGAAAGTATGCCTCATGGCTTTGCATTTCTTGTGTTAGATACAAATTTTTTTTAGATATTACTAATACAAAATTAGTACCAAAAATCAAAACTTTATCCAAGTCTGATTTTTTTGAGTAATGTGGGATATTCAAACTGGACCACATCTATCAATTGGTAGAATAATCCTTACATCCAAATCCAATGGCTAGGAAAGGGGCAAGTGAGCCTGTGTTATCATGTTCACGACATATGGTGCCGTGAATGCCTCCAATTAAGAGTTGTTGATAAATATATATAAAAAAAAACAGAAAATTAAGGAATCAATCAACACAACAATGGTTATCACGGTTGGAAGAGGCTTCCTTCTCCAACCTTGTTCTTGTTCTTCTTCACACATATTCCATAACAAAATATATAAACCCTCGTTCGGCTCGGCACCTGCATTTTGGTCTACTTCTTCACCTCGACGTTATCGACAGGTTGCGGTCCAAGCCCAGCAGCGACCAACATGGCTCCCCGGACTTGACCCTCCAGCTTATTTGGATGGCACGTAAGTCACACCAGTCCACTTGAAATTTTCTACACAACAATAGAATTTACACTGTTTCCTCAGTTTTTTTTTCCTCATAACCAGTTTGGCTGGTGATTATGGGTTTGACCCGCTCGGACTAGGAGAAAATCCAGAGAGCTTAAAATGGTATGTTCAAGCTGAGTTGGTCCATGCTCGCTTTGCCATGGCTGGTGTTGCTGGAATTTTATTCACTGATGTAAGTGATTCCCCCATACATTTTAATTCCCAGTTTTAATGTTCATCACAAATCTCTGATGATATAAGAACTTCATATTGCAGTTACTACGCATTACAGGGATCAGCAATTTACCGGTTTGGTACGAAGCTGGTGCGGTGAAATTCGAGTTTGCAAGCACAACAACTTTGATTGTTGTTCAATTTCTTTTAATGGGGTACAAATACTATGCCAGAATTCTCCTACATATGTATAGGTTGTTCATCTAGTTAAGATCATTGCTTCTTGGCTTGATGTTGATGAGAACAGGTTTGCTGAAACAAAAAGATACATGGACTTCATCAGCCCTGGTTCTCAAGCCAAAGAAGGATCTTTCTTCGGATTGGAATCTGCACTAGCAGGTTTAGAACCCGGGTATATTTCCTAAACACTTTCCAGATACGAACACTTGTTGGAAGTGAATATATTTTCATTCGAAAAATGAAAATCAAACTTAGAATTTTGTTTCCATGGTTACCAGATACCCTGGAGGTCCCCTGCTGAACCCTCTTGGTCTGGCCAAAGATATTAAAAATGCTCATGATTGGAAGCTGAAAGAGATAAAAAATGGTCTGGTTTGCCTGATTCTTCCCTCAATCACCATGGTTTTTTTTTTCGTTGCATGAAATTAAGCCATTGTTTCCGGATGCAGGACGACTAGCGATGGTAGCAATGCTAGGGATCTTTGTGCAAGCTTATGTGACACATGCAGGTCCAATTGATAACCTTGTGGAGCACCTTTCGAATCCATGGCATAAGACCATCATTCAAACCCTTTCTAGCTCCTCTTCTTGATTGTTAAATCATTTTGCTACTGGCTCATACGGTTCATCTGATTATCGGCAAATGTGTACATTATCTCATGATATTGCATAAAAAAGGTTCTTTTCTTTCATCATAAACATCAGTTTTATACAAGAATTGACAATCCAAGTATATCAAAGCCTATACAGAACTTGGATCATCTTTTGTTTCTTCACATCCTCCAGCCATACAAACCATATGTATACTCAACTTTATCATTCATCCTAGAGTCGATAAAATTTACACTCGGAGAAAATCCGGCAAACCTTAATATAATATTGAGGGCCACCATGACAATCACGAAAAAAGAATTGAGGTGAAATCACAATGGCAAAGATAACACAGCATTAGAGCATTTCATAGGCAGACTTACTAGGTTCTGAACTTGGACTTGGATTTTAATAAGCTCTTTTTCTTGTTAAAGAACATAGCTAACTTGGGGAACAGTTTCTTCTTCTTCTTTTCGACCGCTGTTTCTGGGGATGATTCGGATTCGGTGCCACTTCCATTGGCTGCCTTTGAGCTATCTAGAGTGTTGCAAGGAGAAATATTAGGTCCAGGTTTCTTCCTTCGACTCGTTCCGTTAAAACTTGCCCATCGAGGGTCTCCACTGTGACATGATTCAGAAGTCTTTCGCTGCTGCTCGTGTTCAGATCTCCATCGTCTCAATTCCTTCTCTATGCCTAACTTCTCTTCCGCGGCCTTCTCATCCTTCTCTGAAGCAATTTTTAGTTGTTCCTTTCTTTCAGCCATCTCTCTCTTTACTTGTTCCAACCTTTCCAAGCTACTCGACTGGGATTGCTTAGCTACCTCGACTTGAGAAGCGAAAGCTGACACCCTCATGTTGGCCTGTTCCTCCGCCTCATATGCACATTTACTGAGGTCATTGTACTCCTCTAAGGAAAGAACTACAGCATCTGGTGAATCAACATTATCGGTTCTTTGAGCTGATACATGATCTTGCAATTTTCTCATAACATCTAAAGCAAACTTCTTTGAAGCCTCAGCTGCCTCTATATCCTTTTGAACTGCAAGTAATCTACTCTCCATGGTACTTGCTCTAGCCTTTGCTTGTTCAACCTCTTCCTTTACTTTGTTCAGCTCTTCACGAGCCATTTGACCAAGTGTCATGGCCTCAAGAGCCTCTTGTGTTGCCCGATGCAGTTGCTTGGGCACCTCCATTTTATCTCTGGCCTCTTTTTCATTCATCTGCACTGAATCTATTTTTGACTCGGTGTTATCCGTATCATCTTTCAGAGAAGCAACATCAACTGACATGCCTTCTGTTTGCTTAATGGTGGCAAGAGCAGACTCTTCCTTTTCAAGCTCTGATTTTAATGAAACAGCAAGCACCTTCAAAGAATCCACTTCTGCAGTTGCTTTTAATATTTTGAGCTTCACCCCTTCAAGCTCCTTCTTTGCTAAGGCAACAGCAGCTGGTATCTCAGTGGGAGTTATTTTCTGTGGTGTCTGTGACGCATCAGTAGAGTGTCCATTATTTTCCAAATTGAACTTAGATTCCATATAAACAGTTAGGTCAGCTTTCAAATCACGTAGCAGTACCGAAGCAGTGTCTAGCTTTGGTTTCAGATCCTTTGTCGATTGGATTTGCTGATTGAGTTTCTGGAGCTCCTCTTCAACCTGTTTTAGTTCCTTCTCCCATAAGCGAGTATCTTGGTCTCGGACTGCTCCGTTTCTTTTCTCTTCAGCCCCCGTATGGGCAGCATGTGCTGACTCTAAGTACTCCTTTGAGGCCATCAGCTCAAAAGCCAATTCTTCCACTCTCTTCTCAGCCTCTTTTGAAGCAGAAACAGCCTCTTCAGCTTTCTTAACAGCTGTGTCTCGCTCAGTCACCGTAGAAGCATATTTCTTTCTTAATGTTTCCAACTCTTCATTAACAGATTTCAGCTCCTCAACAGCAGCTGCATGCCTGGCTTTAGAAACCTCAAGCTGTTGCTTAGCTGCAACACTAGCCTCGTCACAAATCCCTTGTTCTATTTCCTCTGCCCTGAGTGTGGCGAGTTCGGAGTCTTGTTTTGCCTGATTCTCTTCAGTTTGTGCTCTATCCAGGCTTAGCTTTAGCTCTTTTATCAGTTTACTTGTGTTGTCCAGCTCCTTCAATACTTCAAATTTTGCCTCTTCAGCATCAACTGACTGTTTCTTATATACAACCATCTGCTCCTGTAGTTTCTCAAGGTCTTGGGCCACAGCCTTGGATCCTCCCTATAGCCCCAAAAAAGTTCAAGTTACATTTAGCAGACACAAATAAAGTAGGCAGAGATAAAAACAGAAAGAAATACATTGCAGTAGAATAGATTATATTAACATTAACACCATTGCAAATACATCTAATATACCTCCAGATTTTGTGTTCTCTGAGATTTCCATCTAACCATTCCTCCAAACTTGGAACCTGCTTCTTTGACAGATTCAAAAGGTGAAGCTGTAACAATACGACCCCTATTCAAATCACCTTCTTTTTTTGGTATAGGGTTACCAGGTTTTGGGGATTTAACCATAGAACTGACAATCTTTTTATGAGGCAGAACAAGATGACTGACGTGATCTACATCCCCTTTTTTAGCATCTTCTGCCTTACCGCCAACAAGAAGCGGTTGAGTAGAATCATTGGCTGATGTTATCTGGTTGTTACTTTCGGCATCAATGGAAGCAGAATGATCATTTTCAGATTTTTGTTCATCCGTAGTATTTTGGGAAGATTCAACATTAATGGTGCCAACCTCAGGATGGGGCAAGGTAATCTCACTTGATTTCACATCATGGGAGGAAGCAGGAGGCAAAATCATGTCATTGTCACCATTGACAACAGAACTGGCAATTGAATCTGCTTGTTCAGGTTGCTGACCATCAGAAAGAGCGTGCACAGCTCCAACAGAATTGGCTGATGCTACATGGTGAATTTCAGAATCTCCAACCTTTGGATTAGAAGGTGGAGGAACAATTATGTCCTCATTATTACTATGTGAAACAGAACTAGTATTTTTAGATAGATGTTCATCTGAACTGTCATGTACTCCCCCACACCTAGAACCTTCCATCAGCCTACCCTGATGATCTACCTCAGTTTGATCAATGACAACTGACGAAGCTAAAGCTGCAGTATCTATTATATGGTCTACTTGTCCTATAATTGGGTCGTCAAAAGAATCTAAACGAGGTATGCCTTCTGTTTTAGCATTCTGCACCTGAGAAAACGGCAAGGAGACCGGCCAAGGTGTCTGAAACCAACAAAACAGAAGCCATGTAAGCGAAAGATAAAAAAAACTTACAAGAAATCACTGCATAGTACATCTAATTTCTTACAATTATATGAAAACCTGAAAATATATATTTAGCAAACATTGTAAATTTCAACAAGAAAATTAGTGTTTGCCACTGAATTCTTCAATAGTAGGTCCTCAATCTAAGCACCATCTAAGTTCTACAATTCATAGAAAATACGACAGGTTGCAAACAAATTTTGATCAAAGAAATCAGAAATGCAAGAGTAAACAAGCATTAGAAATCATGCTGAATCTAGGTGGCAACAACGATTTGTCATCTTAAATTCGTTTTACCTCTTTGAATGAGCCAAACACATCATTAATGATCAATGATATCAAGCAGTGAATCAACCATTTAAATAACAATAATGGGGGGAGATATTCAACAGCCCATTAACATTAATTTCATGCAAAATCAGATGACAAATGTATCAGCTTAGAACATAGATACAGAGTTCATTACCTTAAATGAAATTCAAACTGAATCATGATTTTCACAAATTAAATTAACACTCTATGTTAAATTAAACACAATCCAAATTCATAAACAAAAGCATCTCCATTTTTCATTCCCATTTATTTTCCTGTTAGCAGATAAACAATTTCGGCAGAGCATCACCATAATTTAATCATGATTAAAGTTTTTTCTTCCCGCTAATAGTTTGAAAGGTTGATTCTTTTCAGAAGAATGGATAGTAATAAGAATGTTTTGAGATAAGAACACACATCATTATCTAGAAAATCTGTGGATCCTGCAATTCATTGCAAGGAGTTCTAAACATTAGAATCAAATAAAAAGAAACAAATTAAATCAACAAATGTAAATGAAAGCTCACGGGAAAGGACGTGGAGCTAATCCGAGTTTATCTTAACGTCGATTGTTTCTGCAATAAAACGAAGCAGAAAAACGGAAATTAAATGAAGAACCTAAGCTTGGCTTCTCAGTTCAACGTTATGCATTCATTCAACTTGGATCCCAAAAATTTCAAAATTCTCAGAGCTGAAAAGATTAACAAACGGTTTGGCGCTTGATTCATGAATAATGCATTGATTATATATAGATGAATAGAAAGCTAATTAACAAATTACATTGCAAAAAAAAAAACGAAAAGAAGTTACCCGGACTAACCAGAAACAGACGAAAAGAGGAGGGGTATCCGTTAATAATGATTCCGAAATGCTTCAAAACGCGAAATTTAAGGGGAGAAATAAAAGCAAAACACAACAAGTATTAATGGTTTATTGTTTTACACGTCTAAGCAATGCAACTTTGCTATTTTGATCAAATTAATATTGTTTTCTCTTACGTTGATTATAGTATTTCTTTCTAATTATCCATTTTTAGTTTTTAAGTAAATCTATCAAAAATGATTATTTTAATGCATTACTAATTATTATATAACTATAAAAGTGATATTAATCAAAAATAATTTAATTGGCTAAATTTAATATCAATATTGAAAGACTTTGTATAAATTTACCATCTTATTGAAATTAAATAAAAAAATTGAACAGATAAAATCCAATAAAATATGAAATTATATTTTATATTCATTTTGATTTATACTTTATTTTAATTTAAAATATTATTATTTTTTTGTGTGTAAAATTTGAATTAGATAAAATATGATAAGTATAAAATTCTATTTTATATTCAACTTAAAATATATTATTTCTTATTTAGTATAAAATTTTGTTAAAAATATTTATATATATGCGAATCTCTATTATGATTAAAACATTATTATTAAATAGAATTTTGATGCAATTTATTATTAAGACTTTAATGTTCATTAGAGTTAATATTTTATATGATATCTATTTCTTATGTCTGTAAATATAGAATATAGAAACTAATTATACACCATTCATATTGAGAAAACAATATAAAATTTTCTTCTTATTGTCACATCTCTTACTCTTCTTGTCATTCTTATTGTTTCCTTCTTTTCATTTCACACAAATCTTTTTTATTATTATATTAAAATTAAAGTGCTTAATAGATAAAATCTTATAGATATTAAATTACATTTTACATTAATTTTAAATTACACTTCCATTATATATTAAACAATTGATTATTCATAAATAATATATTAATATAAAATATGTTTATTAAATAAATGAGTTTGAAAAATCATCTATAATTATTTTTTATAATACTCCGTCTTAATCGATCAATAATAGGTCAAATATCTATAGATCATTGTCACCTTTAATACTTGTAAAATTAATAATCCATGTTACTTTTATTTGTATTCGTGAGATTGTCTCAAAGATTAAAACAAAACGCAGCACAATGCACGATTTGTGAAATCTATCGGTTACTTTGAGACCAATAAATCAAGGGGATTCATGCGGGAACTCAATATTCATTTTTATCAAAGAAATTGCAATTTTACGTTGCCTTGTCTTAAAAGCATTCTTTTGATGAATGATGGTGAAGATATAAATAAATGCCAATAGACAATTAGTGTTTTACTCGTTCAAAGTATAAGATATGCAATATCAATGACCACGGCTACTGCGTTTCCCTTGCCTATTTCTTTTCTTTTTTTCAGTAACATATGGAGAACCCATAGGATCTCGGAGTACATAAATGGAGGTATCCCACTCTTATCGCGTAACTCCTATCCCTTCCATTCCAAATTCGAATTCAATAGCATTGAGTTGTAATCGCGTTTCTGATGTTATCAAATGGACAGGCCAAAGTAACATCTGAACTGCCTCATACTTTCACCACGTCTTGGATGTGTTGAGAATGGCTTTTACCAGGCGTAATGAATATATGATCATCCCACCCCGAGTTTTTCTCACTCATCTGCATCGAAACAATACAACAACAACAACAACAACAAAACCCAATTCCCATATGTATGGGGTAAGGGGGAGGTAGGGTAGTAGGCTACCCCCAACGCCAGGTTGAGAGTAACTTCCGTGGAAGACCTCCGGCAGTCAGAAAATTAAAAATTTAGATAAAATGCAATGCATGTATAAATAATATGATCATCCCACCCCGAGTTTTTCTCACTCATCTGCATCGAAACAATGATTCACAATTGTAGACACCCGTTTTTGTCCGGGTCTAAAAAAGCATTTTATCGTATAATTATTTTTTATTTTTCTTATTATTATTATTGTTAATAATATTTTTATTTTTTATTTTTTAATTTTACAGGCCCCATGTACAACCCCACTACCCCACCATTGTCTCAACCAAAAAACAACCCACTAAACCACCATCCAATTAGTTACTAACTCCACCCCACGTTTCAACTAAAACCACACACGTTTCCTTCTTTTTCTTTCAAGAAATGAAAGTGGGGGAAGGGGGAATTATTATTTAATGGTTGTAATTTCGGGCTACAGGGGGAGGAGAAACAAAAAAGCAAAGGGAAACCGATGCTCCAAAGCTTTTGCTATGTAAAACCCTCTCCAAACTCCATAATCAAATTGATATCGGATTACCTGTACCTTTCTCTACTCGAAACAAAATGCACCACCAAGAAAGTCCTAAAAAAAAATCCATGCCCAACTCATCAAAACCGACCTTGTAAAAGACATCACCAGCAGCCATGGGAGTGATGAAGGTAGCCATTGAAGACGCCCGGTTAACCTCCATGTGGGTGTTTTCCATGCCCGTCCTAATGATCTTCACCGCCGAAACAGCCAAGTTCCTCTGCGTCCAAACGCTTCCTTTGGCGTCTCTCTTCATCTCCACCGTCTTGGTCAACATTCTAGTCGTAACCTTCTCCACCATTGGAGAATTATTCGACGACGCCAGCTTCAACCCCGCCGCCTCCTTCATTTTCCACGCTGCCGGCCTCGGGAAAACGCCTCCTTCCACTCCATGGCAGTCCGCTTCCCGGCCCAGGCCGCAGGTGGAGTAACGACCCTAGAATTCATCCCGGGTCAAGACAACAAGAACCTGACCGGACCTTCTTTAAAAGTGGATTTACACACCGGTGCCGTCGTTGAAGGAGTGTTCACATTCATGCGAAGCTTTACTTTGTTGATGATAATATTCAAGGGTCCGAGGAACAACCCGATAAAGCAGTGGTTAGTAACTATAATGACGACGATCTTGGTTATAACGGGATCCAATTTTACTGGAGCTCCGATGAATCCGGCAAGTGCTTTCGGTGGGCGTATGTCAATAATCGACATAACTCATGGGAACTTTATTATGCTATTTGGATTGAGGCTTTGATCGGAGCGGCAATGAAGTTGGTCGTTCTTGCGTTTACATGACGTACAAAAGCAAAACTGTACTGTTTGAATGTGGAATTCATCTTGCTTACTCGGAGAAGACCACATTCCGAGGACATTAACCGCTCCATGGATAAAATCGAGATTATTAATTTTTATCAAACTGTGGAAGCAAATGGCATTAAGTTTTGGTGCTATACTGCTGGGCATGTTCTCGGTGCTGCTATGGTTATGGTTGACATTGCCGGTGTACGAGTTCTCGGATTTGTGGAGGCTCATCACGCTGTGGAGTGGAATGATGTGCGTTGGTGGCTAAAAGTACTGGAGATGTAATTGCATTTGTTTGGCGTGAAACAAAAATGGTTTTAAATCTTGGGTAAATTCTCCTTATGATCTTTTAAATGTTATGTATTCATTTCTTTTATTTATTTCGTTTATTTTAGTACTTTCAAAATTTTAATTTATTTTAATTTTAATTTATTTTAATTTTTTTCATTTGATTTATTTCATATTTATTTATTATTTCTCATCTAACATCTTTAACATTTTAGGAGATTGTTTTAGTCAATCAAAGGCAAGCAATTCGAATCGGGTATTTAAATTTTAATTTAAATTATTCAAATTTTTGCAACCGATAAATTAATTGGTACCGAAAGGGCGGTTCAAGGGTGCTAATCCTTACTTCACCGTAACCGACTCCCGAACCCGACACATCTCTGGTAAAACGCAGATCAGGTAAGATGGTGTCCGACCTACCTAAACGTTTTTAAAATGGTCGGTGGCGACTCTAACCCAATTCATTCAAGTCGAAGCTCAATTCCGGGGCCCAACCGAAAGACGGTTCCGACAGCTTGGCAACTCCGCTGGGGACAGGTAAGTGATTCAGGCCAGAATTAATTTTCGGTTGTCTTTTTATGCGAAAATTGTAAATTGTAAATTTTAATTTATTTATTCGATTCCAATTATTTACCTTTGATTATTTTTCCAAGTAAATAGTTGTACTAACATTTTTTCAATGATTTCAGATTTTCGAAAAGTTTCCATTTAAGGCTCTATACCCGAGCTCCGAACCCTATTTAAGTGGGGGTGAAAGCGACGCCTTCGTGTGAATTTATTCACCGTATGGGCCTAGCAAGTAACCTTCGGGATTCATATATCTTATGCCTTCGTGTGAATTTATTCTCCGTATGGGCATAAGAGAATGTTTCCTCTCGAGTTTAACTTAGTCCACATAAGCTTGTAATGGGCTTAGGACTAAGGGTCTGGTAAGCCCAAGGGGGCACCAGCAAGGATAACTCGGGTACCTCTTTAGAACCTAAACCGGGATAGTGCAGGGAATTAGAGCCCACCCCAAAACCTCATTCCAAACCCTAGGCTCCTTTTATTTCCTATTTTACTTTCTGTTCAAAGCATGTGAATTAGAAAAATATGCGGTTAGGATTTGTTTGAAATTAACATGCGGGATAGAGATCATGTCCGGGTAGGAATAATAAGCATGTGGGATAGATATCATGTGGGGTAGGACTTTTCATTTCTATCATTTTTTTATTATCATCATTATCTCACTTACTTTTTTTTTTCCTCCTTTCATTTTTATTCTTTGGCATTTTTTTATCATTCGCATCATTAAAACGAGGTGTTAATCCACCAAAAATGTGTTTGTTAAAAGTAAATAATTTGCATTAACGGACAAAGGGGTTATAATACAAAGAGCTAAAAAACTCAGAAGTCCAACCGTGGTCAAAGAATACTCAAAGGCAAAGTTGCAGGTGCAAGACGAGTAAAAGGTCACTGACCCGGTCGCTACTTTCGAAAACTACAAGAACAAGATGGTGAAACCCTAGCTGAGTTGGATGTCATTGCTGACGAATTCAAGAAGCAAGCTTCGGATAGTTTCTCTCGATGATGGGTTCCAATGGCACTTTCGTTAAAAACAAGCTCGGCAGAGAGTGAAAGTCGGAGATGCAGTCCTTCGAGACCTTTTTTGGGGCAAGCAGCTCGTTATTTGCACATTTTAGCCAAAGGAGCCGGAACGGTTTGACAGGGTATTCAACCGGTGACAGACGAAGGCAGAAGACTAGTCAACCTATCAGAAGCTGTTCGGGGTCTATGCCTTCAAGATATTTTTGTCTCTTAAGACGTAACACTTTTGTCCCAATAAGGATTATTTATAATAACAGGTACATTTTTTTGGATCAATGTCTCGAACATTTCATGCATCATGCATTCCGCCATATTGTGCATTTTGTTATTTTTCTTTACATTCGCATTATTTTTTCCCTTTTTTTATTACATTCACATGTCTCATAAAAAATGAGAACATTTCGATCCTATGACATATAAGGAGTTTTACCAACAGTTGTTTGACGCACACGTGGTGTCACCATATCCAGAAAAATCCATGAAGCCCCGTACCCCAAGTAGTATGATGAGAACACTCATTGCGAAAATCATAGCGGAGTCCCAGGGCGCACTATCGAGAATTACTCCACAATCAAGAGAATCATACATAAAATACGTAACAAGAATCGGATCGACTTCAACAACTTGGGGGCATCCAAGTGAGGAAGACCATTTCATCATTTGAGACATTTTGTTTGAATTTGTTTTTTCATTTTTTTTCTCAAGTCTTTGTAAGGACTTTTAAATAAATTTATGTTACTTTAAAGACATTAAACAATGAATTATATTTGCAAACTTGAAATTCTTTGAATATCATCTGAATTAAGAGACTCTGAAATGGTTCAAAGTTACATATCTTTGACGAAGTAACATGATTTAAAACAAGGAATTTGACTTTACCCAGAATATACACTCAAACACCGTACCCTGCTCTTGTAATTAACCAATATAACATTTTCCTTTCATAAGGTGCGGACAACATGGGGCATCCTTTTGCATATGACATTATTATACTTTTTATTTAAGACGTTCAGTGATGATAATGATCTTCACATATGGAATAGTCGAGTAAGTAAATCTAGTTTAGGTCAGTTGCTTGAAAATTGAACTCTAAAGATGAAATTTTTTACTTTCAACAAACACCTAGACTATAACAGGTTCTTCTTGATAATCTTAAGAAATTAAATCCGTAAAACTGAACTATTCCACTAAGGCAATTGGTTACAGAGGAAACTCGAAAGCCCTGGCTTTATGAATAGATTGTATTCAAACCATGACATTACTCGGACACTTGGCAATTCGGTGTTTGCTCCACTGCTTTTTTCAGGCCGAAGACTTTGTGATGAGATGAACCCTTCAGTTAAACCTGATAAAAGTGATTATAATGTTAAGCTGTCCCTCTAAAGTAATTGGTTAAACGCCCCGACTTTATGGATTCAGCTAGCCAAACAATGGAAAATTAAATCAAATTTATCTGAGCAAGAAATTTTTGGTAATATTGGACTAAGGGAGTTAAGGAACACCTGTTATAGTCGACTACACACGAGCACTCAAGAATTTCATTTTTAGACCGATATTTTTGCATTGCCTTTGTTGGAGGAGCCTACAAAGCTTGAACAAATGGAAGATTTCAGAGGACCGAAATAAAATGTCTAGTAATTGGTCATCCTGGTTGCGTCATTATGTCCGCACCCAAATGAAATGCCAAAGCATATTTCGATATTTAAAACAAATGACATTTTGAGTTACCAAAACCTTAGAAAGAATGCTAACCTAAAGCCAACTCATCCATTTGAACATTTGTCAAAGATTTGTAACTCTGAAAGCATTAAAAGAGCTCTTGATTCCTTTGATATTTTTTGAACTCACATTTACAATTTGATTCAATTGCGAACAATATTTTACAACATTTTTATCATGTCTCTCTCCTAAAACAAGAAAAAGGAAAAAAAACATTTTCAAGCAGAACAGTCTCAGATATGAAAGGTCTGTAAAGCCAAAGCTCGGGAAGCAAATGGGGCACGATCGATTTCAAGGACCTGATTGACAGACAAAGCACGAGACTCCATCCAGAAGATAACACATAATTCATTCATATTGCATGCATCTTAAACATACTTAGGTGCATCACATTCATCATTTTAGCATACACGTTTTTGCAGCTTTTAGAGTCAAGTTTTGACTTCAGGATGAATGATACTCGATTCTCAAGCGCCTTCAAAGAAGGATGGTGGTTGATTAACTCTGCAGTAAGAAGCTACACTTCGACCAACTCGACAGATTGAAAGTTTCTCTCGAAACAACACATATTGCTCGAGAGCCAATTTCAACTTCACAACGAAGGATATTGGACTCCAGACAACGCAAGCTCAACTTCACGACGAAGGGACCGCTGGTTGTCAATAAAAAATTCCCAATTTCAGAGCCAATTTCAACTTCACAGCGAAGGATATTGGACTCCAGACAACGCAAGTTCAACTTCACGACGAAGGGACCGCTGGTTGTCAATAAACAACTTCTCAATTTCAACTTCGCAACGAAGGATATTGGACTCCAGACAACGCAAGTTCAACTTCACGACGAAGGGACCGCTGGTTGTCAACAAATAATTTCCTAATTTCAGAGCCAATTTCAACTTCACAACGAAGGATATTGGACTCCAGACAACGCAAGTTCAACTTCACGACGAAGGGACCGCTGGTTGTCAACAAATAATTTCCTAATTGCAGAGCCAATTTCAACTTCACAGCGAAGGATATTGGACTCCAGACAACGCAAGTTCAACTTCACGACGAAGGGACCGCTGGTTGTCAATAAACAACTTCCCAATTTCAACTTCGCAACGAAGGATATTGGACTCCAGACAACGCAAGTTCAACTTCACGACGAAGGGACCGCTGGTTGTCAATAAACAACTTCCCAATTTCAACTTCGCAACGAAGGATATTGGACTCCAGACAACGCAAGTTCAACTTCACGACGAAGGGACCGCTGGTTGTCAACAAATAATTTCCTAATTTCAGAGCCAATTTCAACTTCACAGCGAAGGATATTGGACTCCAGACAACGCAAATTCAACTTCACAACGAAGGGACCGCTGGTTGTCAACAAATAATTTCCTAATTTCAGAGCCAATTTCAACTTCACAACGAAGGATATTGGACTCCAAACAACGCAAGTTCAACTTCACGACGAAGGGACCGCTGGTTGTCAACAAATAATTTCCTAATTTCAGAGCCAATTTCAACTTCACAGCGAAGGATATTGGACTCCAGACAACGCAAGTTCAACTTCACGACGAAGGGACCGCTGGTTGTCAATAAACAATTCCCCAATTTCAGAGTTTCAACTTCACAGCGAAGGATATTGTACTCCAGACAACGCAAGTTCAACTTCAAGACGAAGGGACCGCTGGTTGTCAATAAACAACTTCCCAATTTCATAGCCAATTTCAACTTCACAGCGAAGGATATTGGACTCCAGACAACGCAAGTTCAACTTCACGACGAAGGGACCGCTGGTTGTCAATAAACAACTTCCCAATTTCAGAGCCAATTTTGACTTCTCAGCGAAGGATCTTGGACCCAAGACAACACAAGCTCAATTTCACGACGAAGGGGCGGCTGATTGTCAACAAAATTTCATTCAGAGTCAATTTCAACTTCACAGCGAAGGATATTGACATCGAAACAGCACATTGGATTTCAACTTCACGACTCAACTTCACAACGAAGGGGTCATCTACGACTTCGACTTCACGAAGAACGATATCGTACCCAAGGGATTGACTTAGTGTCACGACAAACACTATTAAGTCTCAAGAGAACCGGACAAAAACTTGTTGTCTTTTCAATCTTTGTCCTATTTTTGTTAACACAAAAATGTACAAAGAGGGGCAGCTGTAGACACCCGTTTTTGTCCGGGTCTAAAAAAGCATTTTATCGTATAATTATTTTTTATTTTTCTTATTATTATTATTGTTAATAATATTTTTATTTTTTAATTTTACAGGCCCCATGTACAACCCCACTACCCCACCATTGTCTCAACCAAAAAACAACCCACTAAACCACCATCCAATTAGTTACTAACTCCACCCCACGTTTCAACTAAAACCACGCACGTTTCCTTCTTTTTCTTTCAAGAAATGAAAGTGGGGGAAGGGGGAATTATTATTTAATGGTTGTAATTTCGGGCTACAGGGGGAGGAGAAACAAAAAAGCAAAGGGAAACCGATGCTCCAAAGCTTTTGCTATGTAAAACCCTCTCCAAACTCCATAATCAAATTGATATCGGATTACATGTACCTTTCTCTACTCGAAACAAAATGCACCACCAAGAAAGTCCTAAAAAAAATCCATGCCCAACTCATCAAAACCGACATTGTAAAAGACATCAGCAGCAGCCATGGGAGTGATGAAGGTAGCCATTGAAGACGCCCGGTTAACCTCCATGTGGGTGTTTTCCATGCCCGTCCTAATGATCTTCACCGGCGAAACAGCCAAGTTCCTCTGCGTCCAAACGCTTCCTTTGGCGTCTCTCTTCATCTCCACCGTCTTGGTCAACATTCTAGTCGTAACCTTCTCCACCATTGGAGAATTATTCGACGACGCCAGCTTCAACCCCGCCGCCTCCTTCATTTTCCACGCTGCCGGCCTCGGGAAAACGCCTCATTCCACTCCATGGCAGTCCGCTTCCCGGCCCAGGCCGCAGGTGGAGTAACGACCCTAGAATTCATCCCGGGTCAAGACAACAAGAACCTGACCGGACCTTCTTTAAAAGTGGATTTACACACCGGTGCCGTCGTTGAAGGAGTGTTCACATTCATGCGAAGCTTTACTTTGTTGATGATAATATTCAAGGGTCCGAGAAACAACCCGATAAAGCAGTGGTTAGTAACTGTAATGACGACGATCTTGGTTATAACGGGATCCAATTTTACTGGAGCTCCGATGAATCCGGTAAGTGCTTTCGGTGGGCGTATGTCAATAATCGACATAACTCATGGGAACTTTATTATGCTATTTGGATTGAGGCTTTGATCGGAGCGGCAATGAAGTTGGTCGTTCTTGCGTTTACATGACGTACAAAAGCAAAACTATACTGTTTGAATGTGGAATTCATCTTGCTTACTCGGAGAAGACCACATTCCGAGGACATTAACCGCTCCATGGATAAAATCGAGATTATTAATTTTTATCAAACCGTGGAAGCAAATGGCATTAAGTTTTGGTGCTATACTGCTGGGCATGTTCTCGGTGCTGCTATGGTTATGGTTGACATTGCCGGTGTACGAGTTCTCGGATTTGTGGAGGCTCATCACGCTGTGGAGTGGAATGATGTACGTTGGTGGCTAAAAGTACTGGAGATGTAATTGCATTTGTTTGGCGTGAAACAAAAATGGTTTTAAATCTTGGGTAAATTCTCCTTATGATCCTTTAAATGTTATGTATTCATTTCTTTTATTTATTTCGTTTATTTTAGTACTTTCAAAATTTTAATTTATTTTAATTTTAATTTATTTTAATTTTTTTCATTTGATTTATTTCATATTTATTTATTATTTCTCATCTAACATCTTTAGCATTTTAGGAGATTGTTTTAGTCAATCAAAGGTAAGCAATTCGAATCGGGTATTTAAATTTTAATTTAAATTATTCAAATTTTTGCAACCGATAAATTAATTGGTACCGAAAGGGCGGTTCAAGGGTGCTAATCCTTCCTTCACCGTAACCGACTCCTGAACCCGACACATCTCTGGTAAAACGCAGATCAGGTAAGATGGTGTCCGACCTACCTAAACGTTTTTAAAATGGTCGGTGGCGACTCTAACCCAATTCATTCAAGTCGAAGCCCAATTCCGGGGCCCAACCGAAAGACGGTTCCGACAACAATCAGATTTGATTCCCTATTGTACATCTTATATAGAACTACTTGTCGATAAGATCCTCTACCTCCATTTTCTTCAGAACATCTTCAAAGCTACCTCCATTTTCTTCAGAACATCTTCAAAGCTTCCAACCTGCTCCAACATATCAGATCAAATGTAAGAAAAGCAAAAGCAAAGCAGAACATCTTCAAAGCTTCCAACCTGCTCCAACATATCAGATCAAATGTAAGAAAAGCAAAAGCAAAGCCGAAAATTATACCAGTAGTAAAACATGCATACAATGCTGGAACAATTGAAAGCATCAGGGAAAGGAGGAGGGGGTTGATGTGTAATCATTCATCCATGCATGCATACACGATGTGAATGTCAAAATCATATATATATGCGTGTGTGTGTGTGTGTACACACACAAACACATGATACCATGATATGTTGAGAACCACCAGGTCCTCTTGATGCCCTTGAAACCTTTGAAAGATCTTTTTCGACATCTTCCTATACAATAGTAAAAAAATAATATAAACAAAGTTATGTTCAATAACTATCTTTAAATTCATTTAGGAAAAGGGAAAAAAAATCTATAGCTTGATAGGTGATGCAAACCTTATCGAAATATATTGGCAAAAAGCGCTTGTTTTTCTTCCTCACAACAAGAAGGTCAGACTGTACATGGAGGCATTAAAAAAATATAACCTTAATTTGTGGTAACATAGTTTTGAGAAACTGTGGAGAGAGAAAATCTCCTGATTCATTAAATTGTAATAATATTATGATAATATTGAAAGTGTCCCTATTCACAGCTACAATTCAAGAAAGTCTCTTTACTCTAAGCTGATACAGAAAAAAGAATTGCTTACTAAAACCATGTATCCATAGATTTGCATAAATAAGCTTTTGGTAGCCACTAAAAGTCCATGTGATAATCTGTATGCAATAGTAATATTGAAAAAACTTCTCCGATCTGCAAATGTCTTCTAAGGGAGATCATATGTCAACACACCTGGAAAACTGGAACTCCGTCGAATCCACTTTTGATATCACTGGCTTTCAGCTAATAGACATAAAAAATTACTGTGAGTAATGGTGCAGAATTCTCCAACCGACCTCAAGTATGAAATAATAATGGTCATGACTTCATTTGAAGTATGGTTATCTTCTCTAAGTACCAAACATGCAGTTTACATATAAATTGGCACCCACGCATCTCTCATCCTCCTAAATCAAAATTGAAACCCTTTTTTCATCTTACCTTCATTGCCTTAAAATTTCTTATAAGAAAATGGTGATAAGTCAACGGCATTAAGTAGGAAAGTTCAGCTATTTTTGGGATAATGATTTTCCATTTAACACTTCTAAGACCTTAAGAACATGTTCTAAGAACAACCTTCAAACCAAATTGAATTAAACACTAACCTCTAATGCATTCTTTATTTGAATTGGATCCGGCAGAAAACAAAACGCAATTCCTTCAACCTTCAGAGAGTATACCTGTATCATATATAATACAAAACCAGTAATCATAAAAATCACTATTGTTATTTGCAATCCAATTTTAGTTAATATTTCAACTTATTGAACACAAATGAAAAATGACAAACCAGTAATTAGAGAAAAAAATAGTCACCTGATCAAGTGTAATCGGCACTACTTTAGCATTGCTTCTCAGCTCTCTTCTACGTAGTCGAACCTATGAACGGAAAAATGAATTAAATCAACATAAACAAGCTTCGGAAATATCTCCAAATTCAAAATTTTAGCTAACCTGAGCGAGAAATGCCTCGGCGTCTTCGAGGCGAAAGCAAAGTAAGCCAATAGACTTGGCTCCATTGGGATCAGAGATAAGCACGAACTCATTGTTGGAGTTGCTCACCGTATACACAGCAGTTCCGGCTAGAGTTTTCACAACTTGCTCGGGACTCAACGTGGCAGCCGCCGCTACCGCAGCCTTAGGCTGAGAAACCGAAGCAAAGAGCGGACGATGGTGGGAAGTAGCCGACTGGGAGAAACCGGAAGCGAAGTTGGCGGCGAGACGGTTGGTGTGGTGGAGGCGGGTGGCGAGCTCGGCGCCGAGACTGTGGAAGAAAGTGGAGAGGGATAAGAGGGGGTTTGAGGGAAGTGGAGGTGGTTTTGGGAATTCCATTTCTTTCCGAGGGAAAAAGAAAATTGCAGATATGAGCCTGAAAGTTTATTTGTTTTGTTTATCGGATGCTTTCAACGGTCCAATCGGCTATACGAACTTCGACCCGATTCAAGACTCTTGGATTTCAAAACTTACCAAAGCCAGTGGCCTGACCCATATGGGCCGGTCCGAAAAAGCTTGAACTTCCAAAACGACGGAAGAATTGAGAGATTCAAAAACAATCAAGGATCATTTGTGATATTATTCCTTTTATAATTCAGCTAATAATGCTACTTAACAAAGTTTCTAAATTCTACTAGACAGATTAGAAGGAATAAACTTTCACTTTCAAAATATGTTAAAACATTTTTAAAAAATAAAATAAAATAAAAAAGTAGTACACCTACCATTGAGATTAGAAGGAATAAAACATACATTTAAAAACAATTTAATATAATAAAATACTCTTGTCAATTTTTTAATTTCACACTTATGAAAATTCTAAAATTAATCAACCATGTTCAAAAGCCACCTCCTACTTTATTTCTTGAAAAGTTTACAGATAAAAGAAGACTTTTACATTTTGCAATCGAGATCCATTTGGACAACTTATCGTAATTATTTTACATAAATTCATATTTAATAAAACTTGGGTTTTAAAATTAAAAAATCCTGAAATTTATTATTAAATTAATATTTCATTTATTAAAATAATATTAATTTTATAAAAATAATTTAAGGGACTTTTTTCTAAAAATATTAATATTTTAAATAAAATCTAGTTAATTACATCAAACATCATATACTGATCAAATTTCTTAGTCTATGGTTTTGAGAAACTTTTTACTCGGGTCTACGTAAATAAAATACTTTTTTTTATTATCATCAGATATATGGATTAACTAACACAATGTTTTTTTCTAGTTTAATTAAAGTCTTTAATAATTAAAAAACATTAAATATTTGATATAAATGTTGTTATTCTTAATATTTTGTCTGCCTGGATTGAATTAATTTGTGATTTACTGAAAAATTATTTTCATTAAAGTTATAATAATATTTATATAAACTTAAATAATATCTTATCTAAAGTACAAATCCAATCTGTGTAAAACGAGTGAAATGACCATAGTGTTTTTATATACTCATCCACCACCAATACCTAATTCATTTTTTTATAATTGTTGCCTTTTCTTTTTGTTGGGTCTGATTTCTTTAATTCTTTTCATATTTTAAGTAATTTTAAGAGAAAAGCTAAACCCTAATAATTAATGAATATTCATGTTCCATAACTTTTTAGCCATACCAAATCCAATTAATTTATTATATAAAATATATTAAAAAGTGGTTTTGTAACAACCCGGAATAAAATTTAGAGAAAAAAAAATTTAATTAAGTAATTTGGCAAATTTTGAGGATTAAATCGGAAGTTTTCAAAATTGTAGGCCATTTTAGAAGTTAAAGGAAATTCAGGGACCAAGCCCTGCATTACTCCTTTTAGTGTCGGCAGAAAATTTAATATAAACGTATGAATGGTTTTCTGTTTTCAAAACAGAAAACAATTGTGAAATTCCTCCTCCCGCACTCTACTTCAAAGTCGATTCCGACGCCGTTCGACGTTCAATCGTAAAATTGAAACCACCGTTGTGTTCATCATCAAGCGAGGAACAAACCCTTCAAATTAATTGAAGTGAAACGCTGCCAAACGTCGGGAATTTCCAGTCAAAGTAGCGACGGTTTTGTTAGCTCTATCGCCGAGGAAATCTTAAATTCACCGCTGATCGTTGCTCCGTTTACGACACCTCCCGCACCATCGTGTTCCTTGTGCCGTTCCGAGTTCACCGGTGTCAACCTTGTCCGCCGTAGAAGGCGGCGCGTGAGGAGGTGGTGCAGTCAAAGATTCGGCCGATTTGAAATCGAGCTCTCCGCCGTTCAAAAATTTGAACCGATCGTTGTAAGTATCTCGAAATCGCTCAAAATAATTTTTAGAAATTTTTCCGGGATTTTTAGGGCCCCGGAGGACGCCTCACGCGTCACACGCGCCACCGCAAGGCGTGTGGCTGCTGGAAACCGGTTTAACCGGTTTTCAACCGGTTCTGACCAGTTTGACCGGTTCGAACCGGTTTGACCGGTCTGAATCGGTTTGACCGGTCTGACCCGACCCGACCGTTGACCCGACCCGACCCGACCGTTGACCGTTGACTTTCTTTGACCAAAACTTAAAATGGCTTTGACCGAGCATTAAACGACCGTTAATCTTTTCCGAGTATACCTATCCTGATAGTTTTCGACGTGCCGAATCCGTTTACGTGGTCCGTTTTGTCAAATTCGAATCCGAAGGTCTCCAAATCTACGGTCAAAGTGGTTGACTTTGACTTTGACCAAGAATTTGAATTTTCGAAAAGTCATACTTTATGTTTTTCGACTCCCTGATTCCGATTCCGCAATCCGTTTGGCCAAATTCAGACTCGAAATACCTCAAATTGATAGTCAAACCCGAAAAATGCTTATATACTTAAGAAGTTTAGCTTTGAACAATTAAATAGGATTTGGGACTGATAAATATTATTGTTTGAAGGTACAAGAGACTCTCCAGATCGTTCGACAGCTCGACCCAGCTCTTCTAGATCAGTTAAACCACGTGTACCAGTATTCACCCGTTCGAAAACTATAGCAGAGCGTGGTGAAACCAGCAATCAGTAGATTTGTTATTTGAATCTATTGTCGAGGTGTGTTCCCTACTTATTACTGAACTGTTTTATTGGTTTTAATATGTGGTACACCGAATTCATTGGTTATTGTTTTATTGATGCACCAATTTAATGTGACAATTCATGGAATATGGCTGCTATCTAATTTTTGTTTTGAACTGGTATATGATTACCATGTTTTTGGATTTATGGAATTTGTGTCACGGTGCAATTGAACTTTGGAATTGAATTACGATGGAATAGCTCTGATCAAGCTAACTGGGCCTAATGTGACTCTTGAGGGCCCCAAGATGTTTCATTAGGTCGGCTTTCCTTTGCTGTGTGCTTAGGGTAAGCTATATGGACTTATTGACTTGGGCTTAAGGATACAAGCTTCAGAGCCTATCCTTAAGTCGGCTTTCTTTTTGCTATGTGCATAAAGTAAGCTATATGGAAAATAATTTTGGGAACTACTGATGGTGTACAGGAAAAGGGTTTAAACTATGATTTTCAAAAAGTTAAACTCTTTTACGAATTTGTGAGATTACTGGACTATGATTTGTACCTATTGTGATTTTATGGAAATGTTGGGACACACTGAGCCTAGCTCACCTTTTGAAAATGTTTTCCCATTTCAGATACTGTTGGTTAGATACCTTGGTTCGAGCACTTGGAAGATCAACATATCTCTTGAAGTAAATCAGATTGTAATGTTTTTATCTGGCAAGTTGACTTTATTTTGGTGACATGGACCTTATTTTAAAATATCGGATTTTATAATGATAACTCTTTTGCTAATACTGCTCGGTTTATTGTGATATTGAATTTGAAGACATGTTTTAAATTACATTATTATTTATTGGTACTATATTTACGAGTTGGATTTTGATATTATAATTTGTTTATAATTTCAGGTTATTTATAATGTGATTTTATATTGATGAAGTAACGGTTTCGAAAAATGTATTTAATAATCATAATGTGATCTACTAGACTTAGTCGAAACGCATAGGCCGGGTCTAGGGGGTTACAGGTTTTTATATAAGGTTTTATACTTACGATTTAACTTCAAATAACTATTATTATTATTTTAATGGTAATGCGAACACGATTCTCAAATTAATGATATTAATTTTTTAAGTGATTTTAATTTTTTTATATGGAAAATTTATAGAAAAAAGTTCAATTCTTTTTGGTGCGGACTGACCTACCTCTCTTTGATATGGGCCTGCGACTACTAACATATATACAACTCTTATCCTAATGAACACTTGGTCTAGTTTAAACCTTTCTTTTAAAAAATAAACTTTTTCATCCTTTATTCCATATTCTTTTTCCTAAATAATTTGAAGGCATCTGAAAAAGTGTTATACTTCCCAAGTACTATATATCTATCTATATATCCTCCTTGTTCATCCACAACATCAAGCGAACGATCTTCTAAAACTTCCTTTTCACCGTTTCCCTTTGAATATAAGTTTCTTTTTACACTGATCAACTCAAAACACTAAACAGCATGCTCGGGCTCGGCGGCGATGCTTCTGTTCCCAAATGCATAGACAAATACTGCCAAAGGTCTACTTGGCCGAAGCGTGCATCGGTGCGGATAACCGAGGATCAGCTGAGGGGTATCTTCATCCGTTGTGATACCAACAAAGATGGCCTTCTCAGCAAGGAAGAGCTGAGGGAGGCCTTCGCCTGCCTCGGTTCACGTATGCCCGGTGTCCGAGCGTGGCTAGCGTTGCAGCATGCGGATGTCAACGGTGATGGGTTCATCAACGAGGCTGAGTTCGACAAGCTTGTTAAGTATACTTTGAAAAGTGGTTACAAAATCAATTAGGCCAAGGTGTTCTGGATATATAGTTGCTAGCTACTTTGTTCTTCCATTGTAGAATAGATAGGTGCTGAGTGGTGTTTGAGAATGATGTCTGCCATGGCTGTTTTTCCCTTTAAGCTCAGATAATGTAAATTAATCTTAACATGTGTTTCTTTTAGGGTTTTAGATGCTTATTTTCTTCTAGTGTGCTGTTCGTAGGCTTTGTATGTAATATGATGATGTAGCTTTATAATGTAAATTTTAGTAATATGAGAAATATATGGATACATATTTGCTAGAGGAAGACATCTCACATCTATTAGTCATTATTTTAATATATTTATTTTGCATGTTATAAAAAGGAAAATAATATATATATATATATATATATATATACTTAAAATATTATATATTTATAAATTGTTTAATATTTTTTAGAAAGAAATCACTAATTTTATTCAAAACAAAAAATATATTAAATTACAATAAAAATTTATAATCATAATCTTCCTATCATACCTTTTAAGTTTTTATATTTTAATACTTAATAGTTTCTTAAGCGTAAAATTTTAATAATTTTTATATTTATGTCATGTCTTTTGGGTTGTTATATTTTAATTGTTTTATGTTATATTTCTGTCTTAATTAATTTAATGTGATGTCCAAAACAGATTCATTTAATGTTATTTTGTTATCTTCATGCAATTCATAGAGAATTTGTGTGATCTTGTATATAGCACGAATGAAATGTATTTATGATTTTTAATATAATTTCATATGTATTAATAATTGGTCATATATAGATTTTTGTGAGTTGATATATTAGAATAAATGTTCACGTTATTTTATTTACGTGATGTTGTGTTTTAATTATATTTTTTTATCGTATCTCGATTTATTTTCTATTTTACATAGAATTTTAAGTTTAATAATGTTAAGAATTTGTAGGGAAAAGATATATATATATATATATATATATATAAAAGATGAAATTAATATGCTTTAGTCTTATCTACTTTTAATATAAGGATAGAAATCATAATTTATTTTAAATTTTAAGATCACAAATAATACATGCAATTTCTTACATCCTTAAAAATGATATATATATAAAACTCGGTATATCTTAAAACATTTTATCAATGTCTCTATAAAATTCATATTTACATCATAAACTCAATAATTATAAAGATCACATAAAAGATTATATCTTTATAAAATAATTCTCTCACATAATTCTAAATTTTAAAACATATTCTATATTTATAGAGAAAACAAACCTAACCATTAATAAAAACATTAAACTTCAAAATATTATTTTATTAGGTTCTAACAAATATTTTATATTATTAAAATTATTTGTACACAATTTATATTTTTTATTATTAATATCATAATTTCATTTTATACTTATTTGTTAAATTCATAAAATTCTAATAATCTATTCTTTTAGAAAATTTTATCTATGTAAAATAATCTTAAATGATAATCTCAAAATGCTAATGTTTTAAAAATCTTCAGAAATTTAAAATTCATAGTCCAAATACAATTTTAATAAATAAAAATTATATTAAAATCTAACAACTCAGTCCTATACATAAACAATAAACAAGCTTTAACTTTTATATTCACAAATTTCCATGATATAGGGATCATATGGGTTTGTTTCTTCAACATTGTTTAATGAAAGAAGAAGAAGATATTCCCCACTCAATAATGTAGCTCCAAAGATGCCTTAGCGACATGTTGAACACGTAACTCAATGTTTGACACTATTGCGTTCGTTTTCAATATATATCTAAACCTAAAAGCAAACTAGATAATTACCAATATTTACAGTTAAAGGAAAAAGGTATATGTATAATAATGGAAGCAGTACCATAGCTGGCACTAGCTACTTCTACTTGTTTATGTTGTTTAGATGTATAGTCTTTACGGTAAGTAAAATCCGACTCGACTCGAAAAATCGAACTTTTAAATTTAAAGTTTTATCCTTCTTGACTTGATTCATAATTTTATCTTCTTAAAATGTGTTTTATGTTTGATGAAATGATCAACTGAACCCTACCCTTTTGTCTTTCACATTTTTGGAACTTCAAGAAAATACACACAATCACGTTGAATTTGATGGTGAAATGGAAACTTTCCATGAAATGTTCTCACATTTTTTTCATGATTTTTGCAGATATGGGATTTTTTTCCTGTTGGTCTAATCAGATAGAGATATCATATGATCAAAGCAGTCTCAGTGTCTGTTTCCCCTTTCCCTACCCTTATAATTGATGGGAAAGTTTACCAACACACAATCAGGTGTTATCCTTGCTCTTATCCATTTCATGTTTATTGGATTTTGTACCTTCTGCAACTGTTTTCTCAAGTTAAATATATTAGACAATGAAGTAAACAAACAATTTTGTTCTTTTTTAATCATCTTCACTTTGGGTTTGAGGAAAAGAAAGTTCACATTGCATGGAATGCTGGGCTATGAAACATAATGATTTTTTAGAATTCCAATCATGGGAGTTCATTTCTTTTTATCTTGAGCCCTTCAGCCATCCCCTTTACTTGAGGTTCCTTTTGAATTTCTTTGCTGTTTGAGAAAAGGAATGATCTAGGGGGTATTATTTTTCATTTTTAAATTGTTCGTGTCTTGATACTTATGATACATAAGATTTATATTTATATATATGAATACGAAGATGTGACTCTTTAAAGACCTTCCAAATGATATTATACACGAATTTGAGAAGCATAGGTTGATTCCATGATTACATATAATCATCGTGTATCTAAAATACCAACCATGTAATACTAGTTTAACTAATTTCAGCAATGCATGCGTGTAAACTCATGCACACATGCTGCAAAAAGGGTGTATCTTTCTCCCCTGAAATGCTTTAAGAAACTTTTTAAAGTTAATAGTTATGTTATGCATAATAAGAATATTGTATTAATTGTAGTACTCGATAGAACAAAGATATTATTTTTAGTAACTCTTTTTCTTAATGCACCATTTTTAGTAACTCTTTAATATATTGAACAAGATATTGTTTTTTAGTAACTCTAATGAGTACTGTTAACAAAATATTACCAGGAAATTGCTAATGAAGATGAGCCTGAAGAATAGGAAAAAGGGAACTTATTCAATTGCAGTCATCATTGTAGAGTGTAAGCTATCATTAACCTCATAATCATGTCTGCGATATTAAGCTACATCATTTTTATTCTATTTGGTACCCTTTTTTTATGTGAAAATTTTGAAGCTTTCAGTTTCATGATTGTCCTCCATTAATGTCACTTCTTGTATGGTTTTTGTTCTCTTCTGTTTGCCATTTTTCCCAGTTGGGACTGAAGATTAAAAAGTCACTGTATTATTTTTCAGCTTTGCCTTCTTTTTACATGTGAGCTCTTACAAACACTGTTTGATTCATGGGAAAATGCTGAATGGAAGAGAATTTTCAAGGAAAATTAAGTTAGATCTTTTGTGCTAATGATTTCTTCATCTCTTCACTGAAAAAGAAAATGATTTAGCATTTTGGTAGGAACAAGTTGATGTTATTACAGAAATTTATGTTTAACATGGGACACATAGTTGAATATAGATGTTAAATAATATCCTTCAAAATATTTACTTGTCGCCAATCTATGGCATATTCTTCACGGTAAAAGCAAGAAAGATTCAGAACAAATTTTCATTTTTAAGATGAAAATTTTATTAAAGCAGTCTTCAATTATTTTAAACTAATTCCGTACCCCTACCATTTTATGCATAAAGAAGAAGAAAAGGCAGTAATCTAACTCATAGAAGTTGATTAAAAATGAAAAGGGGGAAAATCAAAACTAGTCCTAGCATTTAAGTTTTTCTTCCCCTTTAATGGAGTTCTTGCAATGAGCAATTGCAGATTGAATTGCAGCCTGCAACTCTTCCATGGTGCTATCCCTGGTTGAAGAAGGAGACCCTTTGTTTGCAACAAGAAGACCACTATGTGTAGGTGATGTTCTCATTGAAGAAGGAGCTGAATAATAATCTCCTCTCCTTCCTCTCCACCCTGGTTTTTTGTTCCTCGAGCTCAAATCACCTGAAAAGGAGTAAGCTTGGCTATGGATATTGTGATTCTCTCTCTTTCTTCTGAACAGTAACAATGGCCTAATCATCCTCATGTACCTCTTCAACACATGACTCACATCGAATCTAATCTTCTTCTTGTGATTCTCTTTCTCTTCTGTTTCTCTAACGTTGACGCCCCCTTTCTGCTGTCTTTTTGAACTGAACAAAGAGAAAGACTTTGACTTGTTCTTCACTTTTGCTTCAATGGTGTGGCTCTGATGACGATGATGATGACTGTGGCTAACCCTTACGTGCTTCCGGATATTGCCGTCGCTTTTGCTGATGGGTTTTACAGGTCTTGGATCATCGAATAACTCTCTCCCCGGAACGTTGAAGCTGTCCAATGAACTTGTTGATAAACGTGGGGGGACAGGGAGGTGAGAAAGGAGATGAAGGGGAAGCAAATGGCCATGGAAGAAAATGACATCGGCCGGAGACAAATCGGCGGCGATCGAAGATGGGGTTTCGGTTTTATAATCGGAGACTAACTCGGAAGATGAACGGAGAGAGATTGTGAAGGAGAAATCATGAGAAGGAGAGGGTGAAGGAGCTGAAACAGGGGATAGTATTGATGATGACCCTTCTTTTATTTCCTCTTTTAACTTGCTTTCTTCTTCTTCTTCTTCATGTTGCTGATGATGAGTATCCATGATTGAAACTAAAGCTGCCTTCAGAGTACAAAAATCTGAAGAAATTTCTCAAAAGTTTGATTATTGTGTAAGAGTGGGAAATAAAGAGATGGAGTTTGGGGTTTAATGTGTTTGGTACAAATGAAACATATATATTTGCTAATATGTTTTGCATTATTCTACAGTATCAGACCAAAGAAAAGTCCAATTGGTTTTTTTTTCAATTATACAAATATTTAAATAAAACAACTTAAATTCTTCACTTGATATTCAAATCCATGATAATTTTTTATATATAACCCTTTTATCACTATATCTAAAATCAATTGTTAATAATATTTATAAATATAATTCTTAAAAAATAATGAATTAATTTAAAAAATCATGTCTAATTACTAGGATAAGTATTATTCACACATATCTCAATTACTAATTATTATAAATTCTTGTATTCAGTTAAGTCTAACTAATCAAATTAAACCATCAACTTTTCTTTATTTAAAAGGATATCATTTGATTGTTTTATAAAATATAAACTTATAAAAAAAACTAAATTAATATCAACTTAATTTAAAAAAAATTAAATAACTATGTCATTTAAATTATTTTGTAAAGTATTTATAGTAAACAATTATCCATATGCTCTCTCTCCCTCCCTCTCTCTCTCTCTCTCTCTCTATATATATATATATATATACCACTTTCCTAAAATATAAATACACTTGTCAAAATCTAACAATTTAATCAAAAGAAATTTAGATTAGAAACATACAAATTTGGGCACAACAGGCGGATGGACTGAATGGCAATAGTCACGGTGAAATGCATAGTTTATATATTTTTGGATACATGTCCTCTCTCTATCACCATAGTTGTGCCATTCAAAGGCTTAGGGCCATGTCCACACATACAGTATAACATGTGCATTCATTTCAATTCCAATCGGTCAAAGTTGGAACCGCAATATAAAGCAAATTACTTTTATGACTTGACCTACTAAACTTCCATCTTATCATTTTGATTTTTTTTTATGATAACAGATTGGACTATGTTTCTTTTATAATTCCATCATTATCTTACCTGATATGCTATCATTTTTTATTATCTTGACGAAGAATTTGCAGAGTCATGAATGTTTTTGAAGAAGTTGGAGTCTACTCTCATGGCTTGAAATTTTACGAATTTATTTATATAATATTCTTAACAAAATTTGTGTTCATTTTTCTATTCAATCAATTAAAGAAAAATAATGAATATATATATATAATTTAAAAGTTGATTTTTAATATTTTTATTTTATTTTATCAATAGATTTGGCGTATACTAGTTAAACTAGTTTGTTTAGTTTTGACCAGACTTATTCAACAGTCAAGTTATCTATCTAAATCAAAAGGTCTTATTGAAATTTTTAAAAAAAATGTAAAAATATTAGACTTAAAGTATTCCTTTTAAAGCCTCAACCCTGGCTAGCCCATTTTGTAAGTTGATAATATGTTTATAATTTTATTGTATATATTGTGTATTTAATATCACATAAAAATGGAATTTATAATATATCATCATACAAATTAAAAATATATTAAGTTACCTATATATACAAGAACAAAATAAATACATTAATGAAAGAGAAATTATATTTTTTTAATTTTTAAATTAAAAATAAAATAATAATATTAATAAACTAAACTGAAATTTAATTAATCATTTACAAATATATGTGAGCTTAATCAACATTTGAGTTGTATAATTTGTGTTCAGCCAAATTTAAATATACAAAATGTATAAATCAGACTTAACATTAACATGAGTGAGGATTTAGAATGGGAAGCAATTTTTTCAAGAGTTAAGTGAGATGGTTGATCCCACACACGTGTAAGGTGTAAAAGAGGTGAGGAATTTTGTTCATATAGTTAAGGTGAACATCCCAATCATGGTGGCATTATTTTGGTGGACTCTCTCTTCTAAAGGTAAGCAAAGCCATGAATGTCGAAATAAAACAAAGATTTCAGTTTCCAATCAGGATGGATAGGGAGATGTATTCCTGAAAATTTTAAATTCTCGTAACATGGACTTGGAACATGGAACAGCCGCAATAATAACTCAACAATCATACAGTTAATAAATTAGATTAAAGTTGGAATACATACATCCATTGCAGGTCTTGGTGTCAAGTAAATCTATGAACAAAAAGGGTAATTAGTTTCTCAATCATATGCTTCCAAGAAAATCTTAAAATGGCAAAATCATTGCAGAACCATGTATTACCTGCAACATTGAAATTAATAAAACAAAAACAAGTGAATACGATATTGATTAATCATAAAGGCATAACAGCTGGAGCATAGGAAAGTTAGATGGCAAAAACAGATGGCAAAACAATAGAAACAGAATATTGACAGCACTTGAAGAGAATATCCGATACATGGTCGGACATGTGCACTTGTTCCCAAAACATATCCGTATACGACACTCACTTCAGTATAGGCAATATAGCTCCTACAAATTACAATCTCTTGCTAAACAAGCATAGTTCCTGAAACCAACACCTTATCAAACTTCAGCAGTATTCATCTAAAGTGATTACCTGAACGATACTGCTGTTATGGCTCAGCAATCCGAATTGTTCGAAGCTAATAGCTAGTTACTTTGTTCGGAACCGTTCACCCTTATAATGTAAACCTAGAAATAAGGGAACAAAGTGAAGAATGACTTACTGAAAACATGGAAGCATAACAAATATACAGTTTATGCACATAGACAAAAGTTCCAATGATATCAGAAAGGGATAGTCTGCAGTAAACATAGACCATGTTTTAAAGACAGAGACAAAACACCTTAAATGCTGTATGTCGAACTAACTGAAAAACCACTGCGTCCCCATCGACCAACTTGTGAGCAACTGCAAATCCTTTCCATCCACCGCTAAGTCCTGCTTTTCTAGCCAAATATACAGTTGGATGCTCATGGCCTTCTTCGTCAATTAAAGTCATAACCTCGTCACGCTTTGGAAGATATGTCTTGCAGAAGTGCGCTGGAAGGCCCTGTTGTCGTTTTTCACAAAATAGTACTGGTTGAGAGATAAATTAACACAATTCTTAATATGAGGAACCTACTCCTTTTCCTTCTTATTTCTTTCTCAAGTCCAAATGATCAATGTCTAGTGCAAATGTAGTTCTTTCTAAATTAACAAACCAATCATTTATCTTAGCAGTGAAACATGCAGAAACCATCAATAACAGCAGCAGTGGTCTATCCCATAACCTATGTTTAAATCATGAACCAAATCAGCCGAATACCAACCTTAAGTATAGACATCGAACAACCTTTCCAAATTATTAGTTCCCTACCAAAAACACCAAATGATTTCCTTGAATAACACACGCTACAGCATGAAAGCGCATGTTCATATCATAATCATGTTTAAAGTATTTTATAATGTACATGAATTTTGATTGGTGTTACAAAAAAAAAAATTGGCCGTTTTTGAGTTTTCATGTCAAGCATTGGTATACCACCATGTATTAGATTGAATAAGCAACAACAAAAAGCAAAACACAATGAATGGATTGGCAAACCAACCAGCCAAAATCCACCAGTAACATGTGATTGAAGCATGGACTTGATGAAGACAGGGAAATCAGGGCCTAAATCAGATTCCAATTTTTCTGCTTTCTCCAAAGCTTCTGCTCTAGCTTCATCTGAAGCATACACCCGATTCGACAAATCCCTGTGCTTAGATACCCTAAATTTTACACACGCAAAAAAAAATAAAATAAAAAAGAAATAAAAAAACATTAAAACAACTAAAATGAAGCATATAAAAAAACCCAAACAAACATTACCTTCTAGGTATCATCACTTTGTCCACAAGAATCTATTGGAAAAGATCAGGGCAAGATAAATGTCAGATTTTTTAATAAACCCAAGAACTGTATTGAGGAAACCACTCACTTCTTTATAAACCGGGGCGGGTTTGTTGGCAACACGACCCGATCTCCTAACCACCACCAGTTGTTTTTCGCCTGTCCGATGCTTTGAGGATTTTCTCTGTTTGGGATCAAAAGAACAATCCAAATTAAGCTTCAGACTAGTAAAAAATGATTTCAAGAATTGAAGGAGAAAATGCAGAGAGATGGAACCGGAGACGGAGAGGGCTTGAAAGATGGGGTACGAAGAGCTTGAGAGAGCTGAGGAAGATTGAGAGCTTCCATTCTTTTCTTGTTTTCTTCCACTCGTTTTCGACGGCATTCCTCGTACGACAACATCTTCTCCTTAGCCACCACCATTGTTGTTGGCGATAATCAAAATCAAAAGAAGTATTTTTTTAAATCAAAATAAAAAGAAGTATTTTTTTTAAAATCAAAATCAGAAGAACTTTGGGGAAATGGGAATGGCGCATTGATTAAAAGCAACACACTCGACCGTTGGGTTCCCACGTATTGATTTAAATGGGTTTTATTTATTATTTATTATTATTATTTTCCTCGATTGAACCACCATTCGAACAAATATTCAAATTCAAAATGGAAATGAGTGTTGACAATTTCGTCTTTCCTTTAATTTTTCCGCGTCTTCTTTCTTGTAGTACTGCTGAAGAAAATGCAGTTGATCTTGAAACTTGAATCGAGTATAGGTATAATAAGGAAACTTTTCATTCTTAGTGCTATTTTACATCCCACATTTCAAAGAAGGGAAAGGAAAAAGAATATTGTTAAAGGAGAAAGGTATAAAGCATTAATTTCTTATAGAAACATAAATTAAATGTAAAAAAAATTAATTTATAAACGCATTTTTTTTTTTGTTGAAAGAAGGCTATTATTCAAACAAATTATACATAAGTTAGCTTTTCTAGTAAATTCTCTATACAATTTATGTTAGAACAGAGGTCTAACAGCTCAAAGCATGACATTAACCATTTATTGTTCAACAAAACAGAAAAAAAATCAGAAATCACATATTTCCCCCCTTTTAGGAGTTGCAAAGCATTCCTTCTTCCGATGAACAAGCCTCTGCCAAGAGTAGTCAACAAGATATGATTATAGCCTGGATCTTCGAATGCATTTGATTGGATTGAAATGGGAATTCCGCCGAGAGGTATATTGGTGTCGGCTTGAGGAATCTGATGACTTTAGATCCCAACCTTCAACATTCTTCGGAACACATGCGTCGAAAAGGATCTGACCAAGAACCCCGTGAAGATTAATGCTTGGTGGGTGAGGCAATGGGACCAAACCTTCCTTGTGTTGGTCTTGCACAGACCCGAAATCTCTTCCTTCATAATATTCTATTGAACTCGGCAAGAGGAAATTATCATTTTGCAGCAGAGTTCCCCGGAAACTCTTGCTTGGGCTTAAGGCTATTTTGCTGATATTGGAGATCGACTCAGAGATTTCATCCTGCGCCCCTTCTGATTCAATCCGTTCACCCTCGAATTGTTGAATATTTCGGGAATATAAAGCAGCTGCCTTACCAAGAAGCTCGGTCACAGCATCCTTGTAGCCAATTGGGTAAGGACGGTAATGACCTGCAAATACCATTAATTGGCACAAGTTGAATAGTCAATGCTATTGCCTGAATAAGATATAGCCTTCAAAAATCTCTATTCTTTAGGTATTCTCTCTTTGATCTCTTTGTTCTCGCATCTCTGTTATTTCTGTCAATTTTTCTCTACTGCTGCATCAGCCAGGTTTATGTTTAAGATAACTGTACAACCTTTTGTATCATGCAAATAAATGGGTCTGGATCATAAAAAGTTTCTTTCAAATGTATAGCATAAACATGAGATCCTTCCGAAGCTTCTTGTTTAAGCCTTTTTTTTGGGTAAAAAAGATGGTAAAATCCCATTGCTACCGGCATTTGTGCAATAAAAAACCATATGTTTCATGATGTTAGCTAAAACAAGAAAAGATGGTGGCTGCAGAGCATGTGATGCGTGTTTGAAGATGAATAAATGACTACTTGCATTATATGTAAGGCTCCACTTTTACATCCAATCTCTTCAGTTTAAATATGTTTAACTGAACCATGGTTAAAACTTAATATATCTCATAAGTTTAGAAACTGACCTACATGAGGTGAACCATTGAACTTCACAAGTTTTAAATCAGCACCAAGTTGTTGCATTCTTTTGAGCGAAATTGCAGATAATTTGATAAGGAGCAAGATCATCATTTTCAGAGCATAATATGAGGTAAGGGCCCCCCATTTTCTGCAAAAGACTTCTATTTGTAAATAAAATATTAAAAATGGAAGTAATAACTTGAATAACATTTTTTATGGTACACTTACAACTGAAGCATATAGAGTCTGCCAATACTCAGCACGGTGGGATTCAAACCTGCTGAGGAAGAGAGCATCAAGACCGGAGGAAATGCCATTTGCTATCCAAGATACTATTCTGGGTGGATTAGATATTTTGAGAACACTTGGGTGAACAGCGAATCGAGCACCCAGATCACTGGTAAAATCCACCGGACTAGAATCAAAAATATGTCCCGAAAAACAATCCTTCACCAGTTGGAGATCATCCTTCACCAGAAGTAAAATAATATTTAGAATGCAAATAGAACTTAAATATCTATAATAATGTTCATAAACAATATTGATTATAACTCAAGGAGAACATTTTTCAGCAAATGCCATTATACCACCATTAGTTGTTTTTTATATCATACGAAAAAGAGAAGCAACAATTTTCAGTATCGATACCTTAATAGCCCCACTAACACCATTTGTATATTTAGAAATAAAGAAGAAGGGAAAGAATGATTGCTGTGGCATGATTTAAGTAGTTAGTAAAATGTTTGCATCTTGATAGAGAGGCAACATACCGGATTTACTTGTACTTCACACAATCCATCGATCATCTGCAACAAGGAAATATAAAACTATGTCACCACAACAAACGAAACAGGCCTTTAACATATAAAAGGTATAAACAAAATTGGGTTTTTCAAAGTGGATACCTGAAGAACCTTGTACATACAAGCCTTCGGACCACCAGAAAAAGATGCAAAAACCACGGGGCATGGCCTCATCTTCAGCTCCTGCATAAAAAAAATCAGAAAGAGAAAACTCACTCAATACACAAAAGCATAAAATTCCATCAGAGGGTGTGTTCCAATCTAGCCAATTGAAACACTAGAGCAAGATTAAAGAGTCCGAGCATCGAGATTGAGATTGTTTTCAGAATTACCTGAACAAGCTCTATAAGAAGATCAAGTGCTAGAGCAGCAGCCTTCTCTGGGAAGAACCTGTACAGATTACCAAAAACATCAAAATCCCCCTCCAACGTCAGTCAACGCTAAGCAGATGAACATCAAATTTCAGTTCAAAAGCAACAATCAAAGCCACGTGACCATATACAGCAATTCAAACCAAATATCCCTCAATTTCATAATCCATAAGAATAGCGTAAGTGCAGAACCATTCGTTTTTAATCAGAAATGCAAAATCGTCATAGAATTCAAGATCAAAGCATTAAAAAAATGGCAATAAATAAAATTCGACAATAAAAAAGAAACCAATTCACAGAACAGAAATCAGGTGCTACAGTAACTCAAAAGCATCCACCAACCAACAAAAAACGATTAAATAAAAAGCAAATCAAACCCCAAAATTAGCTTAAACAAACACATACATGTTTAAGAACTCTGAATGACAAACGAGAGAATCCCAACCCAAAGAAGCGTAGAGCTGAACATAGTTCTTCAAGTGCTTCTCTTGACTGGACATCCAAGCAAACACCACAACTATACCTCCTCCGTTTCTCCTTCTTTCAACCCTATCTTTTCTTCCCCAATAAAATCTGCCCCCAAATCCCCACATCCTCTCGTTGCCTTTACCTCTTCAACTCGAAGTACCAAGCAATAATTAAGCTTCTCTTAGCTCCCTGCACCTCAAGAAAAAAGGTAGAAACCGCATAGAATTTCACTCAATCTCTCGATCGTATATATGAATTAGATTAATAATGCAAGTGTGAATTTTTTTTTTTTGGTCCGCATTTTATAGGGAACCGTGAACGAAAAGTCCGTTTGATTTCCTGCGATTGGTTTTACCATATAAATCTAGCAACCGGGGATGTCAAGGTTGCAACAAGACGCTTTGTTTTGTTATTTTTATTTCAGTAAAGTATGCTCCAAGTCCCTGTGTTCTTTATGTATATGAAATTTAGTTCTACTTTTGTTTATGCAAATTTAATCATCTACTTCCCAATTTTAACACCGATTATTAGTATTGTTAAAATTATTTCTTAAATTCTATCATATTTTTATGACTTCATTTTTACTCCTTTAAAAAAATGGATTTACCTTGAATAATAGTGTCGATTTTTTTATTACATGACTGGTAAATTACTATTTTTTTCTATTCTACACCGTCACAACGAATTTAATAAAAGATTTTATAGTATTAACATTTATAATTTAGTCAACAACTTATAAGGCAAGTGGTTAAATCCCTCCCCTAAGTAGAAATTGTTAAAAAAATTAACTATTAAAATCTAAAAGTAAAAGGATTAAGTTCCTATAAATAAGAATAATAGGACTAAATTATAAATATACAAATAGCATAAGAACTTGAAGCACATTTTAACCTTTTATTTTTTATTTTTCATTTTTTAAGTTGCAATAACTGGTGTTATTACAAATAACATATCAAAATTATAATAGAGTCAATTATTACAAAATCATGATTCAAATGAAAAATAAAAAATATATTCAAAATTTTTTATAAAGAAAGGAGGGATTATAAGGAATCCAAATTAAAATTTAATGTTAATCAAAATTAAAATTATTTAACAATTAATTACAATTTTAGTTAACTAGATATTTTTTAATTTAGAATAAAATAAATTTACTCGAAACTTATATAAACCGATTTTTTTAAATATAAATTGAAAACTTTTACTTTTCTTACAATAATACAAAATTAATTAAATGACTCACATTTAGCTCGAGTTGATCTTGAGAAAACTCCACAATTTTGGATTATTTTGCTAATCATTTATAAAAATTCAAAATGACAGAAATACCACTCTTAGCCCTTGCGTGTCAGTTAATAATTGGAGGACTAGATATGCTAACTTTCAAAGTTTTCTTCTGTTTGGGGTGCTCACAAATGTGAAAATGCAGCGAACCGTAGGAGAATGGCTCCCATCTTTTGCGTTTTCTTTTATTTTCCTTATATTTTTGGATTTTTTTTTTTAAAGTAGAGGTTGTATTATTGTTGTCCTTATCTTAGGATGAGCAATCGAGTCCATCCATTACCATGACCAAATCAAAGTTATGGCTTCAAAAGTGACATCATGGAAACATATCTCTAACTCAATTTGATATTTTCAAATAAAATAATATTTTTTAGTGATCATAATTAGATGATGAATTTTATATTCATAACAATTTTTATTAATTTATAGTGATTAT